CTCCCCCAGCCGATGGCGGAGGTGACGGTCTTCGAATGTGGATGGTAGGTCCAAACACACTGAATAATGAGTCGCGAACAGCCGACAAGGGGAGACCATCCAATGGGGGGAGAGGTGGTATGGTTACAGTTCGGTTAACAACAACGGCGGATGCTCTGGTGTGGTCAGTAGTGGGCCGACGACCATTAAAATTGGAGGACTGTGAAACAGACAGTAGCATCTGAGGTAAATCCGAAGATGGCTGTCTTGCAGAGAACAGGTGTTTTACTATATGGGACAGCGGGGGCGTGGTAATAAACCACTACTTATATAATAGCCGATTGAAATTACATCCTGACGGTGGCGACTCTGGCAGCAAGAAATGCAAACGAGGCTTACGGTACGGTCTGGCGGAGAGTCTGTGTATGGTGGGAAGATATTAAATGTCAAAAGTTCGTCGCAAAATTTCTTTTCAAAAATAAGTTGACTGTAAAATATACACGATTAAAATAACAGGCTGCTTTCCACGTAAAAAAGCATGTGTGTACCACTCGCACACCTCAATGCGTTGTTGGCATCTTCTAATGGACGACACAAACAGAAGCGAGTGATAAAGAAGGGCAGGGCTGAACAGTATCACGAGCTGAAAAATGTGGAAGTTTTCCACGACTGTGTATTTACTCCGGGGAACAATCAGGAAATAAATTTATTTTGTGCGACTCGTCTGGTGAGGTTATGTGACATTTCTTTGCACAAGCGTCCCCCCCCGCCCCCGCCCCGTCGTTGCGGGCAGTCAACGTTCCCCACTCTCCCTTCATTTGTTACAGCCGCCTGCAATTTCAAATTGACATTTCACTGAACTTTGTCCACTGCAAATCATGCCGTCCGCTCTCTAGCTGGGAGCTTTTTAATTTGGAATATCACAGTGACTTACATCCGCCATCATTCAAATATTTAAGTAATTTCTGCGACGGACGACTGTGTAATGCTGTTTACCGTGTTTTTTTCTTCTCTGGGCGTTCCTCCCGGGTCTAATAGTCCATTTACATGACCTATTTCATTATTCTGTCTTGAACAGACGTTCTCTGAAACATTCATTCCTTGTTTAGCGTGGTCTTGGATGCAAAGTGGATTGGTCGCTTTGTTTGTAATGTATCTGTTCCATTCACAGATGGCTTTGACAGGGTGGAACGCAAACAGTATACATCACGAAACGTCGACCTCAATATTCTAGAATGTAGCGTCAGTGGACTTGTAGGTACCTACCGACGTTCAGGTGGAACATGACGCCTCCGTCTTCAGGGCTCACGTTATATTCGCATAGTTATTTTGGTGAAAGCCGACCTGTTATGCATCCAGGAGAGGACACTCTTTGCAGTTAACAAAACC